ATACGCGAGATTGCGCCCCGGTGTGTTTGTGCGTATGTTATGTGGCATATGACTGAAGTAAACCAATCGCCAATAAAGTTATGCAATGCAATACGGCTGCGGGCCGAGGGCACTGCTTGTTCGCGTCTGTTGTCTGCCCCAATTTCCTGGCTGCCGCCCGTTGTTTCGACTCGTGACTAATAACAAGTGGCTCGACATTCCTCCCCATCATCGATTGGAATTGTTTGTGATGAAAAAGTTATTGATTGGGCATCACTTTTGAGTGGTCGGATGTCGCTGGTGGGGACCGGTAGGACAGTTTGCGACCGCCGCCGCCGCACCTGTCCAGGTGCGCGAGATGCGCGAGTGAAGTGCCGCCGCACCTATCCAGGTGCGCGAGTGAAGTACCGCCGCTCCTGGAGGGCGCAGCAGCAGCGCCCGGCCCCGCCGCACCCCAGTGCCGCCGCGCCACGGTGGCACTCTGGCGGTAAAGACGACCGGAGCCTCTCCAAATACGGCGCGGGTAAAAACTGTGTACACAGTCGTCCCGCAGGCTGCGCGGGGCTTCGCCAGGCTGCGCAGTGTGGGGCGGCAGCCTCAGCAGCCTCAGCCTCGGCAGCCACTGGGGATCGTGTTTGTTTCCTCCGCCCACCGCCTTCCTCTCTTTGGCGCGGCCAAATCCTGAAAATCCTTGAACATCTCTCAAACACTGCCGGTCTGGCCTCGGGCGCCGCGCCGCCGCGCGCCCCTATTCGATTCGATTCGACGAGATCCAAATCCAGAGCTGTGCTCGGCGCTGATGGCCCGGCCCGCCCCTCCTCCCCGCCACGCCGTGGCCCCCGAGGACTTCTCTCACAAATGCCGCGTATTTGTCGATAAGAAAAGTGGGGGGCGGGAGGAACTTGTGTCGGGTGGGGTGCGGACTGCGGGCCCGCCCCGCCCCGCCAGTCGGCCAGTGACCGCCAGCAGCCTCCCAGCCCAGCCGGCGGCCGCGACGGCGCGCCTCCGCCCTCCGACCAGAATAAGGTCAAATATTCGTCTTGTATAGATAGAGGCTGGGAGAACCGGAAGCCGAGCGGGGAGGGGAGGGCGTCGGCGGGCCACCCCAGCGCGATGGCTGCCCGCGCGTCCTCGGGGGTGGGGCGGCTGCACCGCGTCAGCCCCGCGCTCGTCGGCCCTGCGTCGGCCCTGCGTCGGCCCTGCGTCGGCCCCGCGTCGGCCCCGCGCCAGCCCGCTCCCAGAGGGGATATATAAGGGAGAGCGCTGCCCATTGAAAGGGCATTAACCCAACAACGGGCGCGGCTGGGCGAGGCGCGGGGCGAGGCGGAGCAGAGGAGGGAGGGACCCCGCCGACGCCGCCCCCGCCAGGAGGCCAGGACGTGCGCGCGCCCCGGCGGCATCAACTTGCCAACTTTAATTTGACTTTACGAAATTTGGCATAAGTGATGACCATCATTTTCGCGCTGCCGCGCGGCTGCTGCAGCAGCAGCATGTGGTGCCGGTGCTCCTTCTCCTCCACCTCCTCGCGCTGCTTGCTCCCCCTGCTCACCTCGACGGCGCCCAGCAGGTCGAGATAGGGCACGCGTGGGCCTCCGTCGCACCGCGCCGCGCCACCCCCAGCCTTGTTGGATAAATATCATCCCGTGTCAATTGGAATCTCGGCGGTCCCATCCATCTGGTCGCGCAGAGGGCCGCTAGGGAGCGAACCCCCCTCCCTCCCTCCCTCCCCTCC